CACTCGAGTCTTCAAACTCTTGAAGTCTTGAAGAAATGGGAGTCCCCAAGCTTGCTCTCTTCTTTTTTCTTCTTCAACTGCAACTTGCTTCGGCAGTCGATCATCACGAACAACACCATACTGGCGCTGAAAATTCTGGTGTCAACAAAACCAGAGAAAAGTGAGTTTTCATAGGTTATTTACGCTGTCCCGCAACGTTCTCCGCAACCCGCTATGAGATCTGGGACTCTGCAGGCAAGGCTAGCGCCGCTCAGGTGCAGTTCTGGCGTCCTTGTTTCGGAGAGCGGAGGTGGGAAAATGGTTTACGAAAACTCTCTAAAGATTCGTGGTGTAGTGCGGCTGATCCTGGTGTGGCCACGCGACTGTCTGCTGTCAGGGAATCCAAAGATGGTGATATCCCCAGAATGCACCGCACACAACTTGCACGTAAGCCGCAAGTGAATAGTCTCTATACTTATAAAGCTATGAAATGTGTATCAAAACATTTGCACTTTCAAAATACACTTGAGCTGCAGACAAAGTCACGCTAGGAGAGGGCCATGGCATCTTTCCTAGTGTAATGTTACATAATAGCTTGACCAAATAGACTTCTTCCATAAAACCATGCACGCAACACTGCATGTTTTGGTTTAAATTCCTGTATTCACGAAGTCGGACATATATAAAGTGTGGACCATGTGAAGCCTGGTTCAGAGTTGCGTTCAAAGCGACTGGAATGACAGAACAGAGACTCACTGAGACAATTGTTTGCCACACTTCCAGTGTGACAACCAGTACAATTAATAACATTATCAAGCCATCACAGGTTCTGGTTGCCTCATCTCTGTCATTAGAGTAACTTTTGTTACTTTGCATGCAAGTGACTTGAACAATGAACAATAAGCAGAAAAATTAACACCAGAATAGAGACATGCAGTGGAGTAAAATATGGCTGATTGCCGTAATCAACAATTGAGCTCACTACATAATTTCTGGTATGTAAATTGTATGCAACGTGCTGCATATAATTCCTCAACCAGATATCTGCTCACCCTTTTTATTTCAGATGCCCACAATCGACCTACAAGCCCAAGCCCCCTCAGCGAGCCGGAGGTCACATCAGCAGCTTGCGCAAGCGCCAGTGTTGTAGACACGGGAGCAGCTCAAAGCAATGGGCACTCTCGAGCTCATGCTACCCAGCCGCCTGCAGCCGCCGCTAGGTACAGCGTTGATGGAACTGACGCCTCAAGCCACGCCGCCATTAGGCTACCCAAAGGCAGGATGGCGGTCCTAGAGAATAGCTTAGCTAAAGAAAATGAGGTAAGAGAAACCTTACTGCGAGAGGAGCACGCACTCCGCCTCCGTCTCATGAAGGAAGACCACGACGACAAACTGCAGAAAAGGGCAACGGAGCACAGCTTGGAAATGGAAGTGAAGCGAGCCAAAAAAGAACTCATACTTCTGAAGCTCGAGCAGCTCAAGCAAGCTGAAAAATAAAGAGGGTGCTCAAATTTAACCTGGAACTTTAAAAGGTGGTTTGATTTCTTTCATAGAACTTGCAAGAGGAAAGCTAGGGCTATATCACATGACTCGCTCGGATGAAGGTAACATCAAATATACGTGAAAGGACCACCACAGAATTTCACATCATCATTGCTTAAAGGGATACTTCAACGAAATTTGAAATATTCCCGTCGTGTTCAAAAATAGGTTGAATATGATCCACAATATCCGTAAATGACAATCGCAGGTTTGTATTTTGAGCCTGGTGGCTGTATTTTTCGTTATAAACGGCCCACTCTGGCAAGCGCTCGGAGAAGGCCCAGCTTAGAGCACGTGACATCCAACGCAATTGTGACGTAGGTCGTCTCAAGACGAGCAAAGCTACGGCGAGGCTGACGTCGAGAGGATGGCCTAGTCGTTCCAGCCACCGAAGCGGCTGCTTTTGTACGAATTTTGAGTGACGGGTTAATCTTCTATAATCTTCTAGGGGGACAATAGCGACTTCTGCGACACACAAAAGGGATTCTCGGGAAGAGGGGAGTTCCTCCTTCCCCCCTTCTCTCGTCGTGGCCGGAGACGAGACAACCTCCGTCACTAGCTGTCAAGGTTCCTAGACGGGCATTACAAACGAGGCGTTAGCGACATCCACCAGGTGCTCTTTGCTAATCGTTTAATTCGTTTTAAAATTCCTTTTCGAGACTTTTTTAACAAGATATTGGTATGTTCCATGTGATACTGCTCTTTTGAACACATATAGACCAAAAAAATGAGCGCCGAAATTTCGTTGTAGTATCCCTTTAAAGGGGCCCTGCAAGGACTTTTTACTGTTTTTTAATTTACACCAAACCTGAGCGCACTGAACATAGTAACTTAGTGAAACCTTTCTTTTCGCGAAATTCGCTTTATTTTAAAAGTTATAGGCAATTTAGAATTACAAAAACAAGCAAAAAATAACCTCCTTCATGACGTCGTAGGTCCTGGCTTGAGTGGCCGTGAACTAGAGGAGGAATAGTGAGCTCATCGAGCGCTCACGGCCGCCGCACTCCGTGTCGACGGCGCCAGAGGGTGCCACTAAAGCATGTTCTGGATAGGTTGTATGCAGTGGGCAGCCAAAGCGGCTTTCATTGCGTTTGCTGCGCGATTAAACACTAAATCTGCATGACACTTCATTGGCCACAAACGACAGCAAACACGGGGTAAAGATCAGTTCAGAATGGGAGCCCACTTCGCGCTGCCATACCGCGAAACGGCCAAACCGCAAGACAAAGCCTCTCGCGGAAGGCCTTCGGAACGCTCGGAGCCGGTCGGATCCTCCTGTCCATACGACTGCAGCGCCACTGCGTACATCCGGGATTTTTCCGTGTCGGCGCCTTATCCCACTACTCTTTTCTAGTATGCGCCGCCTTTTCCACCGCTTGGCGGTGGGTATGTTGACGGGTCATTTCTTGTTTCCGTACTTTATAAACTGCATTTCTTTCTTTTTTTCATCTATAATAGTGAACAAAAACTACTTTTATAAATAACTGAAACGGTTCGCACCACTTATATTTTGTATTTTGACCAAAAAGAAGTTTTTAGTGGCTCTGACCAGTAGTAAGCCCAAGACCAAAGACGTCACATTTTGCGCACTTTTGGTATCGTCGGTGGAGGAGGTTTCCGTGTCGTCCGGTTAAAATATGGCGCACTGATATTTAACTACTCCTTCCGTGCCCGCTGGCTTGCCCGAACCCCAAGAGACGTTGAAACCGCATAAAAGGTAGATGCTTAAATATGATTGCAAGGCCCCTTTAAAGGGGCACTAAGGAGGATTCTGTGATCGTCTGTTCTTGGTCATAACTGATTCTATCGGCCCTAAAGCATTGTAAAAATCCAAAAATTACAATCACGCAACACTGATTTCTTTATTAAAAACACAATGAAAGGTCGGGACACAGCCCTTTCTGAGCGGATCTTTCCGCTCGGGCAAGGCTAACACCAGCAGCGGTGTGAGTGCGGCGATGATGGGCGCTCGTCGGCCAATTGCAAACCCCCTCTCCAGGAGAGGCGGCTTATTGGCCGACGAGTGCCCATCGTCACTGTGCTTGCACTGCTGATGGGGTATGCCCCGCCTTTCCCGAGCAGAAAAATACGCTCAGTAAGAGGTGTGTCCTGGCCTTCCATCACGTTTTTAATAAGGAAATTGGCATCACGTGATTGTAATTTTTGGAATTTTAGGATGCTTAGGGCCCGTGGAATTCATTAGGACCAAGAACAGACGATCGCAGAATCCCCTTTAGTGCCTCTTCAAGTCTTGAGCTTGCACGTGCAACAGAAACACTACTAAAGCCAGTACCCATGACCTAGGAGCAAGATGTCAGTCAATCCTTGGATGATCTAAAGAGGACTGAATTCACTCAGAAAGAGTTCTCATACATACCCATGCCTTCTGGAACACTCGAAGGTAAATATATTCCCAGCGTTACTTAAGGCCGGGGCTATGTCGCAGTGCACAGCGATTCGTCTAAGATTTTCCATACTGCCAAATGAGGAAGCGCCCGCCTCGGTTTTCTATGTGTTTATTTCTATTGTTGCCTTCACCTGAACGGTCATTTCAAAGAATTAAGATTTATCTAATAGGACCACTGCATTCCTCGACGTCAAAAAATCACTGGGTCGTCGTGGCAATTCCTCATATGGCCAGCCACGTCGAGAGATCCGCACTGCCAGCTGCCACTGCTCCGGAGGTTTCAGATTTTTGACTCGGCATTATTATGCCATAGAGCTGCACAACAATTGATGAGCCACTGGGGTGTTTTAATTTGATCAACACATGTACAAGAACTTCTGCAGGCCTGTAATGTTGTTTACCGCACCATCACAGCTTCGGCCCAGTAAGCAAAAGGCCTAACTGAGCGGCTCAACCAAACGCACGTCGACATGTTTTCAACGTACATAAACTTAAACTAGGCAAACTTTGAGAAAGTTGTCCTATTTATAACATTACCCTACAACACCAGCGTTCTAACCATAACCAAAATTTCTTTATATTTTTTCTGTTTTGGAAGAGAAGTTTTGTGCTCCCTAGTACAGTCTTACCGTACTGGTTCGACTTTTTTAGAGCACCAGTCAGTCTCAAATGTAGCATCACACGCTGAGGAATGTGTTACATAATGCACAGTCTACAATGTTGACAACACATACATTTTCTGTGTGGAGAGTAAAATTGGAGCGCCATGTCAGGATGCTCAAAACGGCATGCTCTGGCAAGGTGCTGTTTGAGCCCTAGCCAGAGTGCGCTGTTTAGCAGGGATGTGGGTAATCACATATAACTTGCTCATAGATGAAATAGATACATTTTAATTTTTATTGCAGTGCTCCTTCAATGGATACATATGTTTTGCGGCACAGTGGCACCAACACAGCTCAGTCTGATGTTGCTGCTTTGCTGCAGCAATGGTGGAGCTGGAACTTATGCAAGCTGTGGCAGGAATGTAGGTAGGTAGCAGTGGTGGTTGGCAGTGATTGTGACCAGGTCACCCAAAGGCCAAATGGTTAATGGTGTTCCTAGAAAAGTCGCCAGGGGAAGAAGGTTGGCTCTCTCAGGGCAGGAGCATGCCCTCCATCTCTGCCTGCTGCAGTGGCACCATGACAACAGCCTGCAGAAATGAGCGAAGGCAATCAAAATTGAACACGCTGTGAACTTTCCCACTGTGTATTGCAAGGTCACTTGTCTTGTCGTACACAAAGTTGAGGCCGAAGTTTGCAAAGCACTTTAGTTAGAACTCTCATTCCTTCGAGATGGGCAACCTTTGTAAAACGTGGCGAAGTTCATCGAAGAGCATTTAGAGTGCGTTGATGATGTAGCAAGTTTGTCCCTGCATCCCTGCGCAACACTAGAGCAATGTTTTGTAGATTTTCCCTAGGCGAGCTGTTCAATGCTCCAAATCACTCCGAAATAATTGCACACAGCAGCATAATCTACAGCGAATCGCATTTCCAAGAAATGCCTTCACATTACATGCGTCTGTCGTAGCAATGGCGCTGCTTATCACATGGTGCAAGTGCAGATGCTTCACGTCACTCAAAGCTGGCTTATGCGCATGCCCAGTGCCTCCACTTGTGTGTGGACTAGTTTTTAAATAATGAGCTTTTTCTATAGGACAGTTTCATAAAATGCTATTTTATATATTTACAAGCCCTCGGCAACCTTACCGCCAAACATCTTCCCTCATTTTACCAATTTATTTGCATGAAAGAGATTCTTTATTGAAGCATGTTTTAGGTTTTCCAGACTCCAGAGGCACGGTACATGGCACGATTGGATTCGTATTGCGGCTGTCACTTTCTTCCTCGTTCTGAAAGAGCAAAGATGAAGAGGAAAAGAACATGCCTATTTTAGCTCGCAAATTTGTGGGAATCGGGCATTCGACTAATGTTTTTGGATATTGGAGTGTTTAGCAGGTATGGGTTAGGATAGCCACCTGCTTGAACAAAGTCAAACACCTTTTTGGCGTACCTCTAATAAGTGAAGTTTTTCTCAATGATGATCTCTCGAGTCTGGATGCCCGTCAGGGTGTCCTCCACGGCATCAACGGGGGGCAGGTGTACCGGTCGCCTGGCCCTCCTCCTGTTGTTGCGGACCCTGCGCCTGACTGGTGGAGGTGGAGGCGGTGGAGGCTGCGGCTCCCTCCTCAGGCATGCCAGGTTGTGCAGGGCAGCACAGGCCGTCACAATGCTGGCAGAGCGACCAGGCTTATGCTGGAGCCGCATATCCAAGCAAGGGAAGCGCCGCTTCCAAACTCCAAACGCCCTTTCGACAGTGTTTCGCGTTTTTATGTGGGCCTTGTTGTACCTGGTTGAATGAGAAAGTATAAATAAGGTTAGGTGATGTACATCTTCAACTTTACTTGCAACGTGCAGTTAGAAGGTTCACCCTATAAACAAGCATGCAAGTCGTTGGAGGCCTGCAACTACTTTCTGCAGATAAACATTGTCGTTTCATCTCCCGCCCGAGCGAACTGGTGAGAGCTGAATGTGGTGTTCAGCCGGAGAGTGAGATTAATGACAAGGAATGCTTTATAAGAATAATTGAAAATGAGCAGATTGGTGAATAGATATGAATACACGAAAGGATAAAACATCGAGTTCGGGGACGGAAACGGGACTTCTTTTATTATAGTGGCCATGTTTATGCGAATGCGATACTAGTGCATTGAATCGAGCTAGCGAATCAAATTGGTCCATGTAGATGCCCCGATTTGCTAGCCAAGCACATCGAATCGGAACTGATCTGCTTGGTGGGAGTGGATTGAGTGCTTGCGCGAGGAATCATGGGTATGTTTCATTGCATGCGAAGAGCAGTGATGTGATTGGTCGCAGTCATTTTGGAGTAGCTATTGGAGCAGCGAAAGCTTCATTTTGGAGATAGAAAAAGAGCTTTTGGAGCATAACTGCACTCTTCATTTTCATTTATATCACTGCAAATGCGAGGAGGAGAGACGTCAAATATTAGGAGGAGAACAAACGCTAGCTGTTTAGTTGCGTGTGGAGGCACCAGACACGGTAACAAGAAGACGACTGATGAAGGACAGTGCAAACTGCCGTGAATGATTATTTTATGTACAAAATCCCACTGAAGAAATGTTAAAATACAATCATTTCGAGCACCTAGCCCACCAGAACAGACCACGAGACTTATTGCAAAACTTCTGAGTACTGTTAGTGCTTGGTGCAAAATCAAATCAAATAGTATGTTATTTGAGGCGATTATCGAAAGTCCTGACAACCCCCGCACGAGCCTACCCTAACAATCCAACTCGGTACCAAAGCCTGCAGCTGTTATATTTTCAGTAATATTTAAGTGAACTTAAGTTCTGGTGCAATGTTGGCGCAAATTCCTCACATTTTGGTCAAATGTAGCAGGGTAAGCACTTTGGCACAGTTTGGTGCAAATGGCGCAGCAATGAGATCACTGCAAGAGTGGACGTAGATGACCAACATGGCGGCAGTCGCTACAGCAGCTGGCGAGAATGGCCCCATCGTTTTCAGCTTCTAGGAAACAGAGGTTTCTTTGGCTGATGGGAGAAATAAATGTAAGTTCACTATGCTGACAGCGCAACCAGGTGCACTTCTAGCAGTTGTAGGGGGAGCTCGTATTGTAAAGCCGGGGCCTCGCCGCTTATACGCCATATATCAAACTACCTGCAAACAGATTTGAATTAGAGTCACCACGACATTCGTGCTTCTATGCTGGATGGAAACCAATGCAAGCAGTAGGTTGGTACACAGCATAGGGAGCACAGGTATCACGGTGACATGTGCTGGAAGGGTGTTTGAAGACTGCTTATACATCACAAACAAAGTCCGCATGATGAACAGTTTTCTATGCGACAATTAGCGAAACAAAACCAAGTTGCTGAAACCAGAGACACCAAGGACAGCAGCCGCTAGCAGCACTCTACGCCATTTTCGCTGCTTCAAAAAGCCAGGAGCTTTGAAATGACGTTAATTCAGGCCTGGCTTTTCTTTCCCACATCCTTGTACTAGAAGTGCACATGGGCGTACCAACCGGGGGGGGGGGGGGGGGAAGGCATGTGTTTTGCCCCCTCTGAAACAGCCGCCACTGGGCAGGGCAAACACTGGCTGGCAGCGCCCAAGGGATACCGAGGACACCAACCCCCGGTCCTGGGGGGGGGGGGGGGGGAGGGTCTGGTTTGCCTTCTTATTCAAAAACAAGTTGGTACGCCATTGGAAGTGCACTAAAAGCACCACCGCCTCGGAGTGACGTACGAGACCTCAGTTGGGGCATATAAATTGTAACACTGCTTAAAGGGAAGTTCCACAAAACACTGTTTCCTTCCAGTACGGTTAGTTTTCACAAATAAAAACCATTTGCTAGTGCGCTCTTGTCTGTCTACTTTCTCGTACTTGTGTAGTTTTCTTTTTGTGCTTTTTTAGGTGTTCCTTCCATTGTGTAGTTTTCAAACACGTAGGTGAATTGGCGAACCTCCTCCACGCTTTGTTCTATACGCCTCGCAAGTGGGCTCATTTTCGTCTTCTGCGCATGAGAAAGGAAGTAGCGATGACGTCAGAACGCCGAGCCCTGATTGGTTGATCGCGACCCTCTATCTGAGCGTCGTCTGCTTCTTGCAACGTCATCTGCTCTCAACGTCGTCTGCGTCTCTCTTACCTTTCCTGCGACTTTCGGAAGTCGAGCGAGCTCGACTTCGCCTTTCAGAGAGGGCAGACGAAATAACTCGAGCAGTACGTTGTTTTTGTCTGACAACTAGCAGACGCGCATCATGCAAGGAGGGAAGTCAAAGGACTCAACTGGCGAGGTGTCCCGAGGCGCCGAGGTTTGTTTGCTAAGAACCGAGAGTGAGGGTGGTTAGTGTCTGCAAGTTCCCTCCCAAACACTTTTTCCCTCCTTTCGTGTTCAGCGAGACCCCTCATTCTTTAACGGCGTCGGCGGGTTGGCGCAGTTAACGTCATCTGCTTTACGTCTGCTAGTCAAAGCGATGGCTGCTTCACCTTTCCTGCGTCTGTCGGAGATTCACCGCTTTTTCACCGGCGAGAGTCAGCGTTGCCTCGGGAAACAAGGAGATAACAATTAAGAGGAAGAAATTGACCTCTTAATCTAAAATTGAGGTCAGCGATCAAAGTATAACACGGGAAAGGTTCACAAGGGTCGCGCGGGCATATTCCATTCAGCACGCCAGCCGGTCGTGGGCAGACGGTCGCCGAGTCGCGGAGTGCCTGCTAGGCCTAACTGCCGAACTCGCTTGGTCGCGTTCGGTGGAATCGTGGCCATTGGAGCTTTTCCCGGGTGTTTGTGGATCCAGCGTTCTTGTTCGTCGTGGTATGTTTTAAGTACTTTTTACTTTTTTCTTGCTGATTGAAGTCGGGACGCATGAGAAGCGCACGTAGAAAAATAAACGTCCGTGGGTCGTCGCGACCGCGACGCTGTCGGCCATGCTGATCTGATCGTAAGAAGTGCGTAAGACAGCTTCGGAGCTGTCGTAGGATTTCATCGTAACCTGCGCAAAACTTACGAAAATTTCGTTTCGTGAGTACGAATTAGTTCTTAAGTTTTGTCTAGCGCACATTTTTAGCGTAAGATCTTTTCGTGAATCTGGCCTCTGCACTTCCGGAAGTAGCAGGAAAGGTAAGACAGACGCAGACGACGTTGCGAGCAGACGACGTTTGCGAGCAGACGACGTTGCAAAGGAGCAGACGACGCTCAGATAGGGGGTCGCGATCAGCCAATCAGGGCTCGGCGTTCTAACGTCACCGCTATCCCCTGCACAAGAAGCAGACGAACTTGCCCTCCGCATAGATGTGCACTGATTTAAGTGGTAGGCCCCCGCTTTATTCCCTTTTTAGAGATTCACTGCGGATGCATCCACCAGTCATCTTGGCTATTGACAAGCCCTCTGCTCCCATGTCGGCTCTTTTGAACTCCAAATACTAGTCTATGTTTGCAAAACCAGCGCTATTTTGTTTCCATCTACTCCCCAAAATGCATTTGATCATAGGAAGTGCTTGTGCAGACCAGACCAAGTGCTGAAGCACTTCTAGGATTTACTTGCCTGCCCCGTGGTGTGTCTGCTCTAACGGGCTGTGCAAGGGGAGTCATTAGAAAGCGGAAGCATGCATAGCCCATGTCTCCCAGCAGATGCCCGGGCAGCCGGTGCTCCTCGTACATGACCCGCAGCCTCGAATTGTCAAAGATGCGGCTGTCGTGGACAGACCCGGGCCAGCTTGCCACGACATCAAAAAACTGAAGCTGCGGACCGGTGACAGCCTGCAAGTAGATTGAATAATACATAGAATCTGGTGGTGTCTCTCTGGTTGACATTTTGAGAATTCTTGACAAATATATTCGATCTGGAATAAATGTGTGCCAGCTACTGAGTGCAGAAAACTTTCATGGTTCCATGCTCTAGTTTTATTAAAATGGAGAGCGCACATCGCAAACAATTTACAAACTAGAGATTCTATTCTAGCAGAAGCTGCAAATTCCTTATCGTGTTACAGCCAATCAACTGAGCTATTTGCAGCTTGATAAATACCTGGGTGTACATTTTCGGACTTGGCGCTTGTGAACATGCACGCATCATTCGAATATACGATCGCACAATCGTGCCAAGAACGCGCGAACACGTTTTCGTGGATAGCACATTCGCTCGGTTTTGATAAACTGAGAACCCACCTGGACATTGATGGAAAACACTCCTTTGCGGTTGCGGTATACTTCCGCGTCGTCACCGCCGGGGCTGTTAATTCGCACGCGGTACAGTCAATGCAGCCCGTAACGCCGGGGAATCCGACGATCTCGAAGAATTCGCGCATCACAGTGTTTAATTGGGAAGTGTCCGGAAAATGCACGTGTTCTTTGAACAGATGCCGTGCGATCAGGCGCGTCACGACTCCGACCGTGCGGCAGACTGTCGGCTGGGACACGTTGACGAGGTCCCCCGTGACAATCTGAAACGCCCCGGCACCGCAGAACCGCAGGGTCACCAGGAGTTGCAGCATTGGGGGCAGCAGCAGACCCCTGTTGTCAGCGCTCGCTTGAAGAGGTAGCGTGGCGAGCAGCGCCCGCACGGTTCCCTTCGTGAAGCGGTACCGCGCGAGGAACTGCCCGTCGTTGTACCTCTCCATTGGGTTTTCGCGGTCTCGAACCGATGGCCGCGGGACTCTCGGTAACGCGTACACGTTGCCGAAGATGAGGTCAGAGGCGCGGGAGGCAAACTCGAACGCCGCGATTCTCCGAGCGACGTCGGAAGCCGACATCTTGGAAAACTCGCCCAAGTCAAGCTCAAGTCACGTTCAAGACAGGTACAACGCTGTCTTGAAATTTTGAAGATTTGGATCAAGTCAAGATCGCTTCAAGTTCGCGTTTCAAGTCAAGGAGGATTTATGAAACGCGATGGCGTCTTTTCAAGACGGCTTCAAGTCAAGTTCGAGTCAAGTTACATCTATGAATTCGGGGGTTAGAGTACTAAATACTGACGTTCGAAAGTATTTGCAAGATACCAAGTTACTCACAAAAGTATTTAAGATACAGTAACTTGAGTAGAGTATTTAAGTTACGTACAAGGCTGACCTCATTGGCGTGTGCAGAGTTCCGCGTCGGAGGGAGCCCGACTCGCGTGAAAGTGCCCCCCCCCCCCCCCCTTCTCCCTCCTTCTCCGATCCCTCCAGGTCCTCTTCCACCAAATACATTTTTGCATTCCGCGCAGACAGGCAATTAATGATTTATAAATTATAATTCTCTGAATATCTGGAACTTAAAAAAAAATCATCTTATAGCCTGCGTGATTGTACCATCACGCTGTTTCCTTTCTTTGTGTATGTTCACATTAAAAGTGTGTATTGTTACAAACTGCTTACCCAAAATTAATATTTTATATACATGCAAACTTAGACCGTCGCTCCGGGCAATATATCCACACTTTGTGGAACGGACTCCTCGTGAGGGGAAAAATAAATTTATTACACCACAATAACGTGAAGGAGTAGAATTCTTTGCACTTATAAGATGAATTATTTAAACACTAATCAAAGCCATTACAACTACAAAGAAACCAAGTTGTAGAGCACAAGAATTTTACAAACACACACACACGAACACACACACAAATTAAGCGCACGAGGACTCAGGCATTAAACATTTGCTATGCAAATGCAATGGACTCTAAACAATAGTAAAAAGGCACGACAACTGAGCTGGCAGAAAAAGAAACAAACAAATGAGAACTAAACTAATATAAGCAGGTAAAAACGTTAGCTGTACAAAAGCACTTTACATTTGAGAATCGAGCCTGGGTACGGACGGCGATAGGAGTAACACAACTGTTATCGCCGCCAGTATGAAACACTTTCGTAACAAAATTTTGCGGGTTTCCATTGTGAAATACTTCGGAATATTCTCAAAACTGGTTGATGCTCCCATTTCCCGTTCGACAAAAGGCAGCCTCAGCCAGCAAAGCCGTTTCTCTGACAGAGCGGATCTCAACTCGGTTCTTACAACTTTCAGCTTGGAAAATGTTCTTTCACATGAGCAACTAGTAATAGGAATTGTGGAAAAAAGCTTAAAGGCCGACGTACACTTCGCGCTTTCCACCTTAGCCCGCCCCTACTTTCTTATATCCTCTCCGCTCTTTACCTTGCCCCAACTGAAATCCCCTCGTAGCTTAGGAGAGGGGGAGCACTAAGAGGATTATCTTCCTTGCAGAAAACGTCGGCCTTTAAGAACAGGAGAAAAATCTTTGAACACAGATTCGCGCAATCCATTTTCTCGGAGCGAATCCACCCAGTCATTGGAGATCAAATTGTTAGCACTTTCGTTGCTGGTTCAAGACATCAGAAGCCGCATTTCAGCCCTCAAGTTGTCAGGATCCGTTTAAAAACAGCTGCAAATAAAAACTACTTGCTTATCCCCTGCAGAAAAGCACAAAAGGCTCTGCATGGCACATACAAGCTGAAAAGTATCTTGCGTGAACCTTTCTTAGATACCATGAATACAGGCCTCGAGCATAGGAAAGAACACCTCTTTCGTCGCATAAACACATTAATTTGCCCAATTTTGGTCAATTATCCTTGAGTATATTTTTCTTCGAACGTCAGGCATCTCGTAAATACTACAAGAACTTAGTAACTTATGAAGACATTACGTATAGGTGTCTCGCGTCCTCAAACTAGGGGACGTCACCAAAGTTCTTTCGTCGCTTCCAAATACATAGCAAACTATCGGTGCAAGGTCAAGTGGCATCAAGCAAAGTAGCAATATGCCTTGCCATAGTCCTATTCCCTAATAACCCGGGCCCTTTCGATGCCCCTTTCTTTTTTTATCCAGTTAACTTTCTTTTATTTCTGCTAGAGTAATCTCTCCTTTTGCCAAACGAAAAAGCAACGTGTTCCACCTTTCTCTGCATGCACCCCAGAATAAGAGGATCGCCTAATTTTAAGCTGAAAGTAGATAGACGTCATACTTGGCATCTATCGTGAGCCCTCCAAAAAGCGTCTTTGAGCCGCTTTATTTTTTCATCAGCCCCTAGCTGAGGAGGACCCATACTGTGCTACCCTCTGTGGCATTCTCGCTCACCGCTTGTCCGGATGAAGGGGCCAAGTCATAATGGAGACATGTTTATTATTCGAGCCCGGTGTTCGGTGGCTTGCGCCGCCATGGCTGAACTGTCCTGTCCCCCGTCACGCGCCTCGCGCCCCGTGCTTTGGCCCCGCGCTCGTGCCTCGCGCGCCGTCCACATCGTCGCCGAAGTTCTCAGTGTCCAAAATCCCCACATCTTCCCCCCCTTCTGGATTGCTTATGTATCACAAAATCAGCAGGCAGTTCATTGCTCCAGACGTTTGCACCAACCCTACTTCGCGGGGCAGAACACCTCACAAATATGATTAACTTCATGTAGCCAATAACCGGGTCCACATCTTAAAATTAAGAAAAAGTGAGAATAACAAAGTATCTGTCTGCTTTCCTGCTGGTCTCTCCCCAAACGAGCATCGTCAGTAGCGCCGCTTAACTTTAAAAAGTCTTCCAGCTCACACCCCGACTAGCTCGCGTGAAGAGAAAGAACGTACGTCAAAGCAGTCACTTTCGCTTTTCAATAAACACTGATATACAATTAAGGGGAAACGAGAGAATAACAAACGGTTTGCCTGTTTTCTGATCAGTCTCCCTCCCGCCAACCGAGCATCATCACTAGCGCCGCTTAACTTAAAAAGTCTTCCAGCTTGCACTACGGCTAGATCGGGGGAAAAGGGAGAACAAACGGAAACGCCAGCACTGTCGCTTTAAAATGTCGGACTCAGGGTTTGACATCTGAGAAGATGGACCGTCCCGCCTCCGTCGCGGCGGCAGTTCAGCTACTACGCCGGGACCGGCCAGAGTTCCTTGACCCAGCGGCCCTTGGCGCAGATCAGGCCGACAGGGTCAACACACCATGTCCTGCCCCGGTCGACGTGAAAGAAGACATACCCGTCGGAAGAGACCAGGCCCCTGGCCCCTCCAGCGAGATGGCGTAGCACAGTAGAAAGTGAACGTCCGCCGGGGCCATCATTTTGGAGACCGCGGCGCTCGCAGTCAGGGGTCCCTCGCGCAGCCGCCCGCGGACAGCTCGAAGATATTCGCTGTTCCTCTAGTGAAGTCAGGGAGGGCGTTCGACGGGCTGCACAACTCCATGCTCCTCGTAGCAGCCCAGGTATCTGACGTAGGCCTTTCCAGCAGGGTACTCTATAACTTTCCTTGGTCTGGGAGTGGCATCCAAGCAGGCGTCCGTCGCGGATGATGTTCTCGTCCATCGTGACTCTGTTCTACCGAGCCCCAGACAAGCGGCGAGCCCCACGTTGGTGCGCCATTTGTGGCATTCTCGCTCACCGCTTGTCCGGATGAAGGGGCCAAGTCATAATGGAGACATGTTTATTCTTCGAGCCCGGTGTTCGGTGGCTTGCGCCGCCATGGCTGAACTGTCCTGTCCCCCGTCACGCGCCTCGCGCCCCGTGCTCGTGTCTCGCGCGCCGTCCACATCGTCGCCGAAGTTCTCAGTGTCCAAAATCCCCACATCTCTCACCCGCTCAAATCTTGAGAGATTCACCCCGAGCAAAACAGATTATTGTGGCGGCCTTAGCGCATGGACTGCTGCTTCTCCCATCACTCTCTACTATGACGGTCCTTTCCTCTTGGCTTCCAGTTTCTTCTTTTATCCTCCGGCCCCTTAATTTGGGTTTCTCCCTCTTCCACTTATCCCTATACTGCTAGTAAGCGTACGCCTTCAAAATAAATGCAATGAGTTGAAAGATGGAACCTTGCTGGTGCTTTGCAGTTCCTTTTTTTTTTTT